AGAGAAGTGCTGAAGACCCTGGAGATGACTGGACTATGTGAAGGAAGCAGCATTAGGAAAACAGCTCTCTGAACATGATTTTTTTCAGAGGAAATGGAAGAGAAGAGGTTTTCTAATCTGGGAGGAAATGCTAAGCCAAAAAAAAAAAAATCGGTCAGAAAGGCTATAAGGTAAAAATGGGCACAGAGGCTATTTCAGAGGCTGGTTGACGACCCTTCTTCAACCCTCTGCTTTGTCACAGGAGAAATGACCACTTGCAAAACAGACTTTCCCCAGCTCTCCCAACCTTCCACACTTCTTGTTGTGGTTGTCGTTAATGTTGACTGTTTTTGCCATCACATTAAACAAGAATAGAGGCACCTCCGTTGACAACAAAAAGCCAACCAACCAAACAAAACATTTACCTCTGGTTCAGATTTTACTTCTGACTTCGCTTGGCCCACTGGTGTGATTGCTTTAGCCTTCATCTCAGGCCTTCCCTGCGAGTTTCCAACGCCAGCTACAGCCTTGCTGGAGGACATGGTGCTGGCGATGGGCTTGACCTGAGCAGCGGGAGTAGAAGTTCGCCTGTTGTTGCTCACTTCCATGGCGTGCGACGGTGCTATGGGCAACTCACGCAGGTTGCTGTTCCTTGGAGCAGTTGTTTGGAGCTGCTGATTTGAACGCTTGACAATATTCTGGGAGGGTGTGTTCTGAAAAGCAGAGAGAAGAAGTGCAAACACTTCCACCACGAGCAAGATTAAAGCGTTGCCCCTTTCCGATCTTTCACAATTAAGTTAGGCTTCTAAGCTTGGCCCAGAAGAAAGCTTTTAAAAGAGCAACTTCAGGTAAGAAGAAAAAGTTACAGAAATGAGAACGTTCTAGCAAGAGTTTTATTTTCAGCAAAACCTAATCTCCCTTGTTTACATTTTTCTCAGATGCGCCTTTCACCAAGTGATTTATTTTCCTAATCAAGCTGCTTGTTCTGATTTGCAACCACGTGGAGCAGCGTGCGTAGCTGCTCCACGGGGACTGCCATGTCACAGAAACTGGCCGGGCAGCAGAACATGCTGCAGAGGAGCAAATTCGCTCGTGGTTTCAGACCCTGTGCTGATGTGCCTGTTACAGCCGCACGACAGGGGACACGGAGGCTGGGGGTACTTACGTGCCTGGGCTTCATGGGCCCCTGTCGCTGCTGGCACTGCATGCGGTTGTTGTTGGGCTGCTGCTGGGCTGGCATGTGGGGCCGGAACTGGGGCTGGTTCATGGGCATCAAGGGCTGCGGGGGGCCCTGCAGGTGGTGGTGGTGCTGCTGCTGCTGCTGGGGATGGTGCTGCTGCTGGTGGTGGTGTTGCTGCTGCTGCTGCTGCTGGTGATGGTGCTGCTGCTGCTG